GCAAGTGTCTGGACTGGACCTTGTCCCCACCACTTCCTCTTTCTGCTCCACTCTGCCCTGTGTGCCAGGCGCACAGCAGCGTCCACCCGTGCTGTCCCACCTGACAATAGTGCCAGAATCAACCAAGCCAAGGACTATATACCAGAATCTCTGAAACCAAGAGCAGAAGCTTTCCATCTTTTAATCTGGTCTATTAGGCCTTCTGTCAGAACAATGAGAAAGCTTACTAACACCGAGACGAATAAGGTTGCTACCCAGAGCTGAACAGATACGTCTCAGGAGGACCTGGCAGACAGGGGTTGGCATCCGTTGACCCCGCAGCGGTGGAGGAAGCTGGAGCTGTGGGGAGGCGCAGCGGGCTGCGTGGCGCGTTCACCTAGAACACAGAGGCGTGAACTGGACAATTATTAAAGAAGAGTCATCACCACGCCACGTTTGATTGTGACCAATTTTATTTTTGATCATTTCTTTGTTGGGTACTTGATAGTAATACACAGTTCGGCCAATCTTTATATTTGCATTGTTTTAAATTCCCAAGTCACCCCTTTTACACACTTCTTCCCAAGAGTCGTCAGCTTTGGAGATGATTTATAGCTTAGCCTGGAGGATGCAGGAGCCACGGCGCACACGTCATGCTAGTTAGTTTTTTAAATAGCTATCGGTTGCCAGAGTGAGCCCAAAGCTCCAGATATTCAGTCCTTTAAAACAGCTCGTTTTAAAGCAATAGAAGCAGCTTTGGAACGTTTTAATTTTTAAACCACTTTTGTGGGCTTTGATGGAAAAATCCTTATGCGTCTTTAAGGAGTAGGCCTCACGCAGCTCATGCTGCTGTTTTAGCACAACAAAATCATAACAGATTATGTTCACATCTCACTTTTGGTATATGGTTCTTGAACAGTTTTCAAAGCGGCCCCGGAAGGTTGTTTTGGCTAAAAGATGCGGCCTGTGGTGGGCGCCACACCGCACATGCATGGTGTGCACACCTGCTTTTCCCTAACAATCAGATAATCACCCGGCCAGGTCCAGGCTGGACTGGAGGAAGCACTCCTCTGACACTTAGGTTTGTCACATCAAAGAGGTGATCGCCTGTGACTGCAACCTTCTCAGGCTGCAGACTGCATATCCTCAATGGCTTCATTCCACCAGAAGCGAAGGAAAGGCCTGGCCTTCGGGGTCTGAAAGCATTCCGTGACAGCCGCCGCTCCGTACCTTGGTTTATTTTTGGTATATGTGCATACTGCATCCAGAGCTACAGATTTCCCACAGTGCTTTCTGCCTCGTTCAAGTATAATTAGAATAAAAGTAGAAATCTATAGAAGCTCTAAGGTTAACCAAACTGTACAATCATACAAAAAAATTAACTTAATTTACAGACAGTCAAAAGGTATTGGCAATGCCCTTTATAAGTCTTAGCAAAGATTCACCACAAAGGATGTTAAATGCCATCGAGATTTGCGTGGCTGGCACAGCACCAGAGCTTTCCTTAAATGTCCCCATTCAGAATCTGCACATCGTACCACAAACATTTCTCTTAAAGGAACAGTACCAGCAATACTCATCTAACTTAGGAGATTCTCTTATTGCATATTTATTGTTTCTGAGGCAGTTAGTTATAATACAATAATGCAAGATCCACAATTATTTTAAATAAACAAAAACAGTTCTCCTGCCAACAATATAAAGACTTTTTCCCTAAAAATCACTGAACATTACTACATATATTTTTACACAAATACTGAAAGATATGACTTCAAAAAACATCTGCCAGAAAACAGATGTGTATATTTATAGGAACTAAATGATACAAGAAAAAAAAATTGCACACAATCCTATTATATTTTTCAAAATAAAATGTTGCCAGCTAAATGTACATCATTATTTCTTGGCCAAATCATCGTGTTCACTGGCTTGCTCAACAGCCTTATGCCAACAGAGCCCTGGGCTGGACAAGGAAGGGCAGTCGTACCACACCCGATTCCTCTCTCTTGCATTAAGAAGTGCTTGGGGGAAAATTAAATTTGGGGATTCATCTGGCATTTCTAAGTCTATATTCCAATTTACAAAGATCTTCTCGGATCCAGGATCTTGGAAGCCAAACAAAATGGACTTCCCACTAGCAATTGTATTCTTGAGCTTCATCCATCTCCTGGAAATCCAGAGAACAAGAAAACCCATAGCTCTCCAATCGACAGCGAGTCGACTTTTTCACCTTATTTCTTAAAACAGCTCATCCAGGGGCATTCCTGGATCCTAGTAGTAGGATAATAACAGCATCACCACTTCTACACTGTTAAGTTAAAAGGAGTATTTCTACATAATGTGATTTTCAATTCTTCCACATGAGTGGCATTCGGACCCCAGACTCAGTGAGTCCAGCTGAGTTCAGTCAGCAGCCCTCGCTCACCCCTGCTAAGGAGCAGCAGCTGCACAGGGTTACAGGGAATCAGAGGAGCCAGAGCTCTTCTGCAGGTGCCTCTCAGATACCTTAGCAGCTTTGTTGTAAATAGATAATAATTAATTAAATTACAGACATTATAAAAAGAACTTACAGAACCTACAGAAAAAAAGCAAACTTTTGTGGTGTTAAGATTCTTGGGCGGTCGTTTCTAAGCTAAATTCATTATGACTTCATCATCATCATCATCACCACCACCACCACTTTACAACTGCAATTCCTTTTTTCACTGTCATTGCTTTTATCAGGGCAGGGTCTACTTCATTGCTTTGTCTGCCCTTCATCCTCAGTGATTGTGTTTGGCTCATGAGTGGTTCAAAAAGCCAATAAATATTTCACAAATAAAGGAGTGATTCATTTGTAGCTGGAAAAAGAATCACACTGTGGTTTGGTTACTTAAAATTGCTGCAATAGATAATCATGAAGACATCCAACTTGGCAACATTTTTGCTTAACAACAGCTCCCCAATTTATACAGCTTCCCTCTTTCTCTCCCCCCCCGAAATACTATGGACGCAGTATCCAAGGGCAAAAGGCAAGAAGCTAGATGGAACCTAGGAGTCCTAGCCCAGTAGACTGCAGCCCTCAGCGCCTGAGTTCTCTTGCAAAATAAATTGCACAGCAGGAAGACTTATAAATATTTGGTCCTGTTACAGTAGACAGTATGTACACAGCAGGAAATAATATGTTTATTTCAGAATTCACCCCATTGTCGCTTCCTGCTTACTCTATCCCCCATAATGCTAGCAAGTCTTGTTAAAAGCAGACTTTGAATAAAATTTTAATGGCTTGAAATACTTGCTATTAGTCTTCTGGAGTTTTTTTCAAGAATAGCAAGGAGAAATCTTGATTTTTTTCTTTTGTTTATAACCCAGTGAAGTTAATTTTGCATATTCAAATAAGGCACAAATTACTTGCAATATATTAAGACAATGACATTATTTGTGAGTGGCTCCCTAGCCTCAAAACAACACAGAATCACAGGCAAACATCCTGGGAAGTCACTGCAAGACAGGAAGAGGGAGCTCGGTGGTGGCGGTGGTATTTGCTAAGCAAATGGAACAGAACCCAAAGGTGGGTCTAAGTGACACCTGTGACTATGCCACTCTGCAAACTGTGAGTTCTGAACAGAAAACTCATCTTGCCTCCAAATCAGAACAGGCTTCCCTGTGTCCTCCCCTCAACCTCTGAAGGAAGATTTGCCAGACGGGCAGAGCACAAAAGCCACTCTCTCACTTAAAACTGCTCTTCGGCTGTGTAGATTTCTTTTGTTGTTTATTTGGTATCTTGGAATTGATAGTAAGCATGTAAAATAAAAAAATGACCAATTCTTAGAACCTTCCCTGCGTACTTTTTAAAATCAAGATTAAATATTCTTTAGTATGTACAATCTATCCGTGTAACAGAAGCAATGTGTATATCCCTTCCAGTCATGAATAAGCCATGACCTCAAGTAAAACATCTACTTAGAGTTCGGAATGTACTTGGTCGTTTTCTTTAAAAAAAAAAATGACATGAGTAAACATATTTAAGTAATATTTTTAATTGAAATCATATTCTTCTAGTAAATTCTTTAGAAGATGATCCTATTGGGACTCTTGAGTCGTTCCTCAAGCATTCTTAAGTTACTTTTAGCATCCATTTGGAGGGTAGGAGCAGGTGCTGCGCGTAGGGTCACAAGTGACTCATCTCATCACTAGGTGTGTGCGCCTGAGGGGGAGGAAGGGAGAGGGAATACTGGGCCTTAAAAACTTAAGAGCCACTTTTGGCTTTCTGGTGGTTTCCTGGAGATAAGCGCCTCACAGACCTTCCTATCCGGGCTGGCTTTGAACCGTGACCCTCCGATCCCGGCCCCCGAGGAGCTAGGGCACCTCGCTGACCACTAGGAATGACCTGGGGCCGTCTGGCCTAACACGATGCAGTGAATGCGCTTCCCTCTCGGACTCACGCCCGGGCTGAAAGGGAGGCCGCAGGCGCGCACGGGCAGCAGGACCAACTCCCAGTCACGCATCCAGACACCGCCCACCCGCTCCTACAGAACAGTCTAGAAGGGGGCATGGCCGGGAAGCAGCCACTTCACAGTGGAGAACGTCAGCAACCACCCCCTGGGGCCGGGATCCACGTCCGGAATCACGGGCCACCCACGGGGCCGGTGGACGCCACCTTCTTCCTCCAAACCCACTCCCCGGGGCCAGGAGAAAGGCCCGGGGGCGGCGGGACACCGAGGCCAGGCCGGGTCCGATCGGACCACCCACCAATGCCCAGAGGACGCCGCACGCCGCCCCTCCCCCCCAGGACGCCGCCGTCGGACCCCCGGCCGCCCCCCCGCCCGCCACCGCTGCCCAGGCGGACCCCGCGGAGGCGCGGTGCTCGGCGGCTCTCTGGAGACCGCCGGCCCCACGAGTCTCGCGTGTAAACAAGTCACTTCACATTCTGTGCCCGCCCTTGGTGGCGGCTCCGTACCGTGGGGGCCGCGGAGGGCGAGTCCGCGCGTCTGCACGCGGGCCCGCCTCGAGGCCCGTGGAGGATTAAGGCAATGAGCAGGTTAACCAGGTCGCCGGTGGGCGGGGCGATTGCGCATGCGCGGACGGCAGGTGCACACTGTGCGCACGCGCCGCGGCGGGAGCACCGAGTCCTGGGCCATCGCGGCACGGACGCGCGGACGAACCGGTACCTGATTTCACAGACAGCAGGGGAGTCCGCCTGGCATTTAAACACCGCAGGCCCCGGCGCACGCGGGGTGGGGGTAACTAAGTGGGAGGGCTGCCCCCGTACCGACGGCTCCGTCCCG